AGGAAGAAGCTAATGGGAAACTTCCTATTAGCTCCTTCGACTTTGAATCAATATGGATAATGTCACCATTTTACATTGTTTTAGAAACAAATGTTCCATCAGGACAAGGGAGGACAACATTCCTCAACTCTAAAAGCAAAACAATACAGAACTGAAAGGCTTTATAAAATAAAGAAAGGTAGGGCATTTAATTGTCTTGTTTGAAAAATACCCTGAACACTAAATGATGAAAAGGTGCCTCCCAAACAATTAGCCAGGTTGGAAAGAGAAATGCAAATGTCTATACGTCTAATACCTAAAAAACATAATTTGAAGAATTTTAATTATATTGTGTTGTAGCACCAAAAGAAGCATCAAGTGCACTGATGCACAATTACAAAATTGCAAGTAGTCAACAGTGTTTCTGCAAAATCCCAAGAGTCTGAAGACTAAAGCAACAGAGAAATTCAATTCCTTTAGAGACTGTGATTTTAACCAGGTTAGAAATCTTGAGAAGTGTATTATTGAGACACAACTATGCAGAAAATGAAGTCATAAGGCACCATTTAACTTTTTCAGATTTACCTATTGCACTATCAACAGGATGTCTTGTATTATAGGATTTTTAAAATATTAACTCACATGTTTTAATACCAATACTTCTAACTTCAAAGAGAGAGCAAAGGAGAGATGCAGTTCTAAGAAAGCAGTTTTCCCTTTCAGTTCTCATCCTGAATAACTGAGACACTACAGCGCATTGCTAAAAGGCTTTATTCTATAAAAGTCTATTGTATAACTTCCTAGTAACTAAGTTATAGAATATAACTTTCTAATACTTTCTAATAACTAAGTTATACTCTATAACTTTTTAATAACTAGTTTATTCTATAACTTTATTCTCCACTCTAGGACAAATGCTTTTTACAATTCACACATTAAACAGAAAAGGAACGATTCCTTTGTAAAATGTTCTGGTAAACATTATATATAATTTCTAGATTAGTACAAGCACAGACAACAACAATAAAAATCAAATAAAATGTTTCTCATACATTTTTGCATAGTTTTGCAATAAAACGTATTCTCGCACTTATTTGAGGAATTTCAATGTCAAGAATGGTACATAAAGAGATACTTTATTATGTAAGCTTTTTACAAAAATAATAGACAAAATACAAAAAAGAATATTAAGCAGATCCTCCAGATAATAGGTACATCCCTCGACAAATCAGAAAACAAAGATGATACTCACTTAACATGCCCCTGTAGTTGAGGTCCATGTCCCGACTCTCAGAGCGAATTTTAATGGCATCCAGAATAGCATCAGGTGACAACAATCCAGAAGGTCTTACAACATTCAGCAGTTCTGTTAGACTCATTAGTGGCAAACGCACCGCTTGCATGATTTCAGCATGGCTTTCCTTGGGGTTGTGTTTACACCAGTTCATCAAAGCTTGGAAAATGTCCTTCTCCGGAGCTGCGAATGAATCCCTTAGTACAATATTCAGAAGAGCAGCCTAGAAAAGCAAAATGAAAGAAAAAAGATAATTAAAATCTAAAACACAGAAAAAAATAGCAGATGTTTCAATTGGTAGTTATTAAAAAAAACAATCATCAAGGAGTGTGTGAAGCCGTTAGCTTGGAGAAGCAGCCAAATTTTCTCTAAGATTCCTGAACTTTAATCCAATTTCTCCAATTAAAAAAGAAAAACCTTTCAGTTTCAGTACTGCATTTATTGTTTGTATATTCTACCTAGCTACTTAATGCAGGAATTATTCACTCTTTGAAGTAACAGGCAATAGTAAAAATCACCAGGAGAAATATGACAGTATGAAACTGTACACAACCAATCAAATCAATTTTAATCCAAGTTACTGTTTTAGATTTCCTCAGGAATTTAAGAAGTTATTTTCAGATTTGGTAGTATGGTTCAAAGCATTCCTTCAAACACAGGCTGATAAAACTGATGATAAGAACAAATTGCTGTTTGCAATCACACTTTTAAACCATTTCTAACAATCTTTTTCCCTCATTCTTCTGTCTTGGGGACCAACTTAGTATCAACAGGTAAGACCCCAGTAGCTCTTTTTCAGCAGAAAGTAAACACTGATTGCAAGCTGAGAACAAAACAATTGAATAGCTTTTTGTTTTTCATTTACTAAGAATAAGTATTTTGCCACAGAAGAACAATCAGTTTTGGAGTTTGCCTCAGGAAAGGACACTCCTTTCACATATCTCGCCAAAGATATCAGGAAGTATATGCTTCCTGATGAAAGAAGTTTGCTAATTTTGTTCACTCTGACAACATACTCTAAATAAACTGTTCTTTATAAAACCAAACAATCATTCAAGGTGTGAGGCTGCTTCACATGCACACCATGCGAAAACATTTTGTCAGTACTGTATGCAGCTCAACAAGGTTCATTTCAGAGTGACTGAAAAATTTCCATGACATACAACTCTGCTGCACAAATATTTACACATGCTAACAGAAAACACACCATAGGATCCCCCAAGCCCTGTAATGCCCCCATGTTTCATGACTTTGGAACATGACAACAATCAGCAATGAGCATAAATCACAGCAATCTCCCAGATGCTTTAGCTCACACTGCAGAAAGGCACCCTACACAGAAGCAGCACACACCAAGAAGTAAACAGAATAAGGTATCTTCTGCTATTTTCTCAAGTCTTGTTATATGTCTACTGCCCAGTTTTCAGAAACCAAGTATTACATTAAGGACAGATCAAACAAGAAAAAAAAAAAAAAAGATTAGGTGGTCCACTCCCACATTACTACCTATTATATTTAACATATTTAACTATACTGACAGTTGGGAATTGAATACCTAAAATATACAGAATGGACCACTAGGATTTGCATTTCTCCTTGTTTTATTGAGTATTTCCAACTGCCAGGTTTATTAATATAAAATGATATCTGTTTACAAATCTGTAAACTCTCATTTTATGCCACCATTAGTAGTTTATTATGGAGCTAAAAGAGACCAAAATTAACATTGCTGACAAGAAAAAAAAAAGAAAAAAAGAAAGATATACCTTAGAGAGCGATAGGAAGCCTTCACTGGACAGCACCTCTTGAGCATTTCTATCCATGAACATACAGCACATACAAGTTAATTTGGGAAGCGAATAAAGACTGGCAACATCAAAGGTCATACAAACATTCTGAATATTGAGTATGGTGCAAAGATACTCAGATGTGGAATCCTCCAGTTCTGGAAAGCCATATTTATGTGCTAGGCTTAAGAAGTCTAGGAGAACCTCCTCTTTCTCATCTCGTAGTGTGGCACGACCAGTGTAAATATATTTCAGCAGCATTGTAAATGCTTCTGCAGTAGTGTCCTGAAGAGGAATTTCTGCTTCAGGCTGAGATTCTCTCATTCCACCGTACAATAGCGCTCTATCCCACCAAAGATGCATGATAAAAAAAAAAAAAAAAAAAAAAAAAAAAAAAAAAGAAAGAAATTACGGCAGTAAAAACATGAGCACACATAAAACATGAAAGAGATAGTTTAGGAAATTATAAAAGGAAAAACTCCTACACTTAATATTTAAACTGCAGGTCTGCTCTGAAAGCAGTTGCATAGGACTGAATTCCTAATTTATCATGCCACAGAAAAAGTGCTCCATCTCTTCTTGGAAGAATAGTTTAAAAAGCAGAAGGTCATATAGCATCCTGGTACTTTTTCTTCTTCCTCACTGAAAGCACCAAACCACACACCCCCACCAAAACACAGAAACAACAAAAACACCCAATGCTAAAACCTTTCAGAACACACATGAAACAACTTGTCCATCACCATAACAACGGTGGCAGTTTAGTAAATCTCAGGACTGTTGATCCTCTATTTCTTACTCTAAAATCAGCTCATAGCAACCCTGCTGACGTGCCAAATCTTGAGAAAAATCAACATACCAGTGACCTATTTTTAAAGCACGATAAGTGGTTTGAACACAATTTACATTCATATCCTAGCTTAATTAATAGTTTATCCCTCTAACAAAATTAACTTGTAGAGGACTACCAAGAAGTGTCATTAATCACATTCGGAGTCAAAATGTCCAGCTCTCAAGAGAAGTAATAATCAAAAAAAAAAAAGCTAGATTAGTATTATCCTTAGTTTTCAAATGCTCATTTTCAATGTGTCAAATTAAGTTTTTCAACTAACATGTTCCACAGAAGAATACAGCCAAATTCTGAAAAATCACAAAAGTCTTACAGCAGATTTTTTTTGTTCTGAAGTTAGTTTCACAAATTCTAGAGAAATACTACCTTCAAAGTCCAATTTAATGAAGGTCAAAAGAACAACATCATGACATGGTATTTATCTTTTTATATCCAAACACAATGATTTGATGCGCAGGTGGAGGGGGGGGGAACATTCATGAAGAAAAGGTCACACTCAACGGACAGATGATTACACATTGAAAAGTTCATAGAGAAACAATGTTTATCTCATCTGCATGAAAATTTCTTGCCTGCCTGACAAAAAGCTATACTCCACCTGAAATAATGGCATCTAGCAGCCAGGATCACCCTATGTGCTGGAAAACGTTTCTTTTCTACAATGAAGGTAACATCGCTGTATTCCTCCCCGTTCATTAGCGCGCCAATGTGCTCTGACAGAATGTGGACGTGGTCGATCTCCCCGACGGCTGTGTAAGGGCGGAGTGGGTGGCTGTTACTCATCTTGGAGGGATGGTTATATTGGTAGCCTAAAGGGAAAAAAGAAAATCATCAGCACTAAAAAGGCACATACATTTAAAAATGGCGAAGATCAAATTGCAACTAGGAAAATAGATGAATACGTAAATACCAATATATCCCAAGGAAAATGAAACAAAGCCTTTTTCTATTAAAATTCAGTTACAACATGACCCAATACTGTTTGCATCAACAGCAAATATTTCAGAGAATCCCAATGCCTCACTACCCTAGCCAAACCATTTTCTCTAAACAAAAAGCTTCCAACAGAAAGAATAAAGAATTTAAATGAAATTGCCACTAAAACGATTTGCCTGAATTAAAATGCTCATACATTACAGACAGATAATCTGATCAATTAATCTTAATCTTTATCCTGAAATCTCTACTATTTTTTTTTATCAGTGAAAAAAAAAAAAAAAAAAAATCAAAGTTGTACTTGCAGAATTCCAATTAACTTTCCAGAACTCATGATGACTTCTAGTAATTAATGGACAAGCTTTGCCAAAGAGCAAGCCTTTATAATGTAGAGGGATTTTCTTTGACTCTTTTTACTCAGTTTTCTTGGTATCTTCTTGTTTGCTCATATATTGAGGGAAATAAAATAACAAATACCTCTGTGTCATTACGTAACACACTTTACTGATTTACAATACAGATGAATGTGCTATTCATATCTTCTATGAAATTATTTGGAAATTTCTTAATTTCTTAATTTCTTCTTTCTTGGTTTGAATTAGTTTATTTTTGTCCCTAAGACAGTATGCAGTTTCACTATCAAGAGCACCCACAGCACAATTAAAGCCTTAATTCAGTTACTTATACTTCTTATACTACAGTTTACTTTTAAATAAAATGAGGGTAGCTTTTTCCGATAACTACTCAACTATGCTTTCAAACACTTTCTGTACCTCACAAGCCAACCACCTTTCAAAAATGGGTGTGCACTCAGGAAAGATAGCATGCCAAAAAAACAGTAAAAGGATGAAAATCATACCCTGTAAATACCTAACATACATCTTCAGAAGGAAATATTAATGAGGAATGCATTTATTAAGCTATATATAAAGTGTATAAGATGAATGCATTTGTTTAGCTATATATAAAGTGTAACCAGAAAATACACAGCTGTTTCCAGTTACCTCTGCTTCCTCAGAAAAGCCTGAAATGTATATGGAGTTAAATATTATTTATACTTCCATAATACCTAGAAATGCTCGATCTGAAATTAAGAGGCTGCAGCAATGCAGCCAGAGAAGTTAAAATTAAACCACTCAGAGAAATGATGGAAATAGAAAATAAAGAGAAAGATTGATACAACGAACTAAACTGATAATACAGGCCACACCACTAATGGAACAGAATTCAGCTTTCCTCAGGCTGTCTCCACTATTTGAATGAAAAGTCACTTGCCCATGTGGACATTACAGATACTAGAAGCAGTCAGACTATAACAAACACAGGTTACTGTATAAAGGAATCCTTTTATCCTGACAAGAGAGTAAATTAGTCCTCATAGTTCCTCATCATAATGGATTGCTTCTTCTGCTTGCCTGTCTAGTAAATAATCTAAAAGATGTCACAACATACAAAAAAAAAATACAATCCAGAAAATGCTGCAATAGCAGCAAAATCAGTGAAATGTTTACTCAATAACTCCCAAATCAGAAGTGCAAGAGATGAGTACTAAGCTCACATCCAGTCCTGTGCACTCCCTTATGCTCTCCCAAATTTGAACTATCACTACAGAGAGTTCTCTGAAAAAGAACACTGATCCAAGGAAACATCAAAAAGTTGCTTTTGTACCAGACGCAAAATAAGGAATTTAGGAAATTGTTCATGAGTACTCTGGAAATTTGTAAACAAAAGATGAGTGGAAAAAATGTTTATATAGCTGATGGCCCTAGTGAAACTTTTAAAATAACATATCAAAAACAAATTAGAAAGTAGACAGACAATGCCAGAATTCAGAACTTTATGAAGTAAGTCTGGATTATAAAAACAGAGCAGTTAACCTCATGTCCTTGAAACACTTCCATCCTTTATCATCCAGTTTGTACCTATCAAAATGACACAGATTTTGTCTGAATTACGCATAGGGATTGTCTTGAGAATAATTTTCTTAAATTTCTGATTGTTCTAGAAAAAGGAATCATGATGGTTCTGGGCAGCCTGGAAAGCTCTTGAATAGGACTTTCAATATTTTGAAAAACATTACTTTTAAAAAAAAAAGTCTTTGAAGTTTTTGATTTTTTTTAATATAAATCACATCAAAATACTCTTTTTATTGTTTTTAATACAATTGCTATTACCATAGACACCCTAGACACAGGAAGAGGGACAGGAAGGCTACTGCACAAACATAACACTGTTTCAAATCAATTGCATGCTTTGCAGTGGATATACTCATGTCTTTTCTATACAAAGAAATAATTTGTTCTTATATAAGCTTTGGTATACTAACTCAACATCTCAGGAAGCATAGGGCTTTTTTTGTAGTTATTTCAATACGCACACAGACAAAAAAAAAAGTGAGCAAATACTTGGACTCTGTCAGAACCTTAGCACAGGAGCAACAGCATAATAAAGTTGACCACAACTGAAAAATGCAGCAGAAAGCGGGAAAAAAAAAAGTATGTTCTAATAACAACAACTGCTCAGATTGAAGTTTTTAATCAAATTAGTGAAGAATTTTAAAGTTTATTCATGTAAATCCAAATACTAAGTAAAATGACCAGTATTATGATTTCACATAAGCCCATTAAACTAGTGCCTGGTCACTTCTTTCAGTTTCACAACTGACAAAAGGACTGATGTGCAATAATGTTTCATTAGAAATGTTTGTTCCTCTTTTATTGTTTTTAATTTTAATTGGGGCCTTAGAAAACAAGAAGCAATAACATTTCTCATTTGATTACAAATCTCTGTAGTTTATTCTAATCTAATAATACCAACAAAATACCAGCAAAAGGGTCTTAGTCCTGAGCTTCAGCCCTGAAGCACAAGTCAAATAATACTCCTGAAGACTTAAAGAATATTTCTGTTCTAAGATTTATTTTCCCACTCTTTTACTTCCCTATAAACACCTCTAATTCTTTGTTCTATGAAGTCCTAAACTTTTTCATAATCCTACCCAAGACAGCTAGCTATCATATACAATAGGATGATAGTATTAGAGAGAGAAAAAGTCTTGAAAGAGCCTTGGAAGGCTCATAAGAAATAAACATACTGAATTTTTATGAATGCTTCCCTAGCTTAAAAAAGAAGCACTTAAAAAAACAAACAACATTTCACTCAAGATAATCCTTACACAGAAAGCTTACTTGTATTTTTCAACTATTAACTCTGCAGTTCTCAAGGATCTCTAACTTTCCAGTTTAAACACTTCCTTAACAAAGCATTACAGTATTTAAAAAAAAAAAAAAAGTTATCTCGTTTATGAAATTGCCAAAACATCACAGAGAGAATGGAAAAGTTTCCCTTGCCACTATAAAAGACCTAAAATCTAAAATACAGCAAGGCTTTGATTTGCCACAAGTTATATATGAATGACTCCCACTAATACCTGCTTCAAGGAGATGTTCAAACAAGCCAACTAAACTAAAATGTTACACAAATGGTATTACTGGCATCAGTCTGTAGGAGAACTCTACAGTACACACTGTAAGCTCAAAACAAAAAAGAAAGTCTAATTTTTAATTAAAAGTTAAATCTTGACATCATGTTAATATCGATGTCTGCATGCCTAAGAAAAAAACTGCTCCTATTTAGTGTCCAATAATAAACTCCTGCTACATGGATTAATTATCTTTGTAAAAGTTGTAGAACTTCAAGCAAACACTATTGCCCAAAATAATTCCCCTGAATTAACTCTCACCTCCAACCCTTCTGTGTGAAAGTAATGAAATAAAAACTCATCATTCTATTTACCACACCATTTCATGACAGAATTATAAACTAAAGCATTTTGACTTAAAGCACACAGAAACAAACATAGAGCTCATCTGCAAATATATTCCAATTACTTCAGCACTGCAGTTAACATTTTACATTTTGCTCCAAGACATATTCCTCCAATAGGACAGCAAAACTAAGGTTAGCTGGGCATAGGATCATACAGTGGAGTTTAGATGATGTGTTTAGATGATATTTAAAATCAGTATTATTGCACCTGATCCATCATGGCATGCAAAAATGGCATATAACTAAAGCCTAAATTAAAAGATATTTTTGCCTGCTTACCAGTAAAGCTGTCTGAAGATCTATAGTGGATGTAGCCTGTGGGCTGATGAGCAACTTCCTGAAAATTAGGGTTCTTTGCCATTCTGAACAGCTGAAAGATTGAAGAGCAATCTCATGGAAGTGTTATTCAGCAACATCCAGCTGCACAGCAACAGATGTACCATATTCCTGAAAAAAATGCACAAGAAATATAGCACCAAAAACAGGGGGTATGCAGACTATGGCAAAATTGATTCTTTGAGATGCATGTTTCTCAGATTTTTTTTGAAAATATTTTTATATCCTTTCATTCTGTCAGAAAATATTAAACATTAGACTATATCACTTGAGTATGTTTTTTCAACAGTCACTATTTAATTGTGACTTTTTTTTTAAAAAAAAATAAGACAATAGGATCTTGAAAATGAATTGTTCATAGTAAGACCCAAAAATTTTACTCTGGTTGTCCCTCTAGCTAAAACATCATCCCCCTGACCACACTATACTCTGTCATGAACCTCTTCAGAAAACAAGCTCTATGAAAACTATATCACACATTTTATCTCCCAAGCATGCAAAGCTTGGTAAGTGCTTGTGTCCAATTTAAGATCACCATTCTCTGCACCACTACTTAAGGCAGTTGCTGATTTTTCTCCAGTGTAATCTTTTAATCTTAAGCACAGGAAAACAAAACTATAAGGGAGAAAACACAGAAATAGAAGCATTACACATTTAAATACATATCCAAATTATTGTCTCTCAATACATATAACTACTGATATTCTTATACCTGCTAGCAGGAAAAGTAAACCACATTTAAATTACTAAACAGATGACACCTACAAATCATCTAATAAAAGAGGTCTAATTTCTTTAAGGTATATGTTTAAGAAAGTAAAAAAGGGGAAAGAAAGAGGAGGAAGAAGAAATATTCTTAGTAGATTTCACACTTGAATCCAGCTAATTGTGTCCCACAAAGACAATCTCCTAATAAATGTGTTTTTGGGGAATTAATAGGGCCATTTATGTGTATGTGTTCCCATACACAACGTGTGTCATTAAATGGGCATGTGTTATTAAAACACCTTCAGGAGTAACTCGGGAAAACTCTTGCCTATTTGTTTTAGGTAAGTAGCAGGGAACACACTACAACAGAACAGCATGCTTCACACCCCAGGTTTACTGATTTATAACTGGAGAGTACATCAGATATGTCGGCAGGGAGAGCAGAATCAACTCAAAACTTGAAAAAAAAATAAAAATAATGCCTTGTATCTGATAACGCGCCACTTGCTCGCCTGTGGAAAGCAATCACGGCCGACCATAGGAGCACGCAGCTGCGGGAGGACCCCAGGCAAAGCCGCCCCAACCCTGGGCTCGCTGTTTCTGCACAACCAAATACCAAAACGCGGCTCCGCCGCACTGCAAAAGGCGCCGGGGAGGCG